GGTCCAGTTCAGTTCTAGGAATTGTGGGAGAGGCAAGAGAAATGGGGGGGGGGGCATTGCCTTTGTCTCCAGAAAGTCACAACAAAACTGAGAAGACAAGAGACACATAGGAAGCTAGATGTGAAGCAGACCCAACAGTTTACGTAAGTACAGTGTTTAGCAAAGGGCCTGGCACAAAGAAATAGCTCACTAAGTAGAATCCATAATAGCAGTAAAGAGCATGGTTAGTATTACAGGACATAATGAGTCAAAATCTTGAGGTGCTTGCTCTAAGTAGAGCCAGGAGATTTCAGGAGCCGGGTGTGACCTGGCAGGGAATCCACCCCCAACCCTGCACACTCTGGGAATTTACATTTTTTTACATTTTATCAGGCAGAGACAGCTTTGCAAATGAGCTTTGGGATCCAAAGATGAAAGAAGTTTAAATATCAAGGCTTTCCTGCACTTGTTTCTCAGTAACTCCCCAATTCCACACCACCACTGCACTCTCCCACCCACATCGGCTGGGCCCCTGCATGCTGGCTCAGGAAGGCCCAGCCACTCGGGAGTCCCAGACACCTCCAGGGTCTGAGACCCTGGGACCTCAAGACCTCAGAGAGCCCTCTCCAGCCTCCCAGGCCCTGGCGCCCTTAGCCGTTCTTCAAGACTCAGCCTTGCTTTCCGGAGAGTTGGTTGCTTGGCTGGGGGCAGGCCAGAAGAAGGCAGGCAGCACACCCACCCATCCCCACCCCGCCCCACCCCCGGGTCTCCCGGGGACTCTGCTCTCCCTGTCCCTCCCCCACGTCCCCTCTGCCCTCAGCCGCTTGCTCTGCGCCAAACTCCAGCACTCTCAACGGTCCCCAACTGCTGCCACTAATCCGGTTCTGGGGAGCAGGTCAGCAGCGAGGGAGCTGCAGCTCGTGTGAAAACAGCCCCGCTGGCCCCAGCAGCTCACACCTGCACTCTCCATTCATCCCCACTGTTTACACATTGTCATCCGCAATTAATGCTTTCCCAGGAACCACAGTGGGCTGATTGCCCCACCACAGCACAGGGACCCCATTCCGAGCCCTTGTGTCTGTTAAATTGAGCATGGGGCCCTGAGATTAAATTAGGGTTTGTGGATCTGCCATTCTGGCCCCCACCCGCTTCCCCTCCCGACTCTTCCCTCCTCTTCTTCATCCCTCTCTCCTCCGCCCTCCCATTTCCCTCCCTCCCTCCCCTTCCGCTTTCGTTCCCATTCTGCACAGAGCCTCTTGGCAACTTGGTTGGGGGGGGGGGGGGGTGGGAGAGGTGGGCAAGTGGGGAATGGCCCTGCCCTGGGTAAAAGGAAGAGCGGACTTCCTTCATGGCCCCTGGATGAGAGGGGCTTTGGGGAGAGGACACCATGCAGGAACAGGAATGAGAAAGAAGAGAATGTCGTAGAAAGCGAAAGTGAAAGTCGCTCAGTCTAGTCTGACTCTTCGCGACCCTGTATAGATCTGTATGGTCCATGGAATTCTCCAGGCCAGAATACTGGAATGGGTAGCCTTTCCCTTCTCCAGGGGATCTTCCCGACCCAGGAATCAAATTGAGGTCTCCTGAATTGCAGGTGGATTCTTTACCAACTGTGATATGAGGGAAGTGGTGTGGGGCCTACGCTAAATCAGTGATTTAATTCTTAGAACCAACGTGGCAGAGTGGTCAAGAGTTCAGGCTCCAAGGTGAAGTGGGCTGAGTTTGGGTTGGACTCCTGGCTTCTGTCACTTTCTACCTTTGGAATCTTATTCAGATTGAATAAGTCTTATTTTCTCTGAGCTGGACAGAGGAATCAGAAATAGCAAGAAGACAGAGGCTGTCTGTGCCCTTGCTACAGTGGAAAGAGAATGGCATGATACCTCTGGACTCTTCCTCCCCAAACCCATGAAGTGGAGTGAAGTGAAAGTCACTCAGTCCTGTCCGACTCTTTCGACCCCATGGACTATACAGTCCATGGAATTGTCTAGGCCAGAATACTAGAGTGGGTAGCCTTTCGTTTCTCCAGGGGATCTTCCCAAAGCAGGGATCGAACCCAAGGTCTCCTGCATTGCAGGTGGATTCTTTACCAGCTGAGCCACAAGGGGAGCCCTCCCCAAACCTATAAACCCAGTCTAACCATGAGAAAAACATCAGACAAATCTCAACTGGGGGACATTCTACAAAAGATCTGGTCAGTCCTCCTCAAAAACAATGAAATGGCCATGACCAAGGGAAGCACAAAGAGGCCTAATGACTAAAGGTAATGTCCTAGATGGGGTTCTGAGACAGGAGAGGATGGTAGTAAAGAAGTGAGGAAGTCTGAATAAAATATGGACTTCAGTTAATAATAAAGTACTAATATTGGTTCATTTATTACAATGAAGGTACTGTGCTAATGGAAGATGTTAGCAAGAGGAAAAACCCAGAGGCAGAGAATATGGGATCTCTCTGTACCACCCTTGTAATATTTTTACAAATCTAAAACTGTCTTCAAAAAATTTAAAGTTTATTATTAAAATGTAGGGTTAAGAGTGGATTCAGAGAAAACGGTGGCAAGGGCACAGCTTTTTAATCTCCTATAGCTCCCCCAAACACAGATGAAGTTATCTGTGGATATTTGCTATCTCTGGATAGCAAAATCAGAGGCCTCAGACAACAGTGTTAGGTAACAGGGTACCCCCAAACTACTAAGTATCCCCAAACCCCCCAAATTCATTGAGAAACACAGCAAGTTAATCTGAGAAGAAAACCTAGAAGGTGCTGGAAATAGTAGCCAAGTAGAACAGGACTGGACGATAGGAGCAAAGAATAAAAAATGTGAAGCAGAGGAAACTAATGTCAGAAAATGCCACACCATATTTTTTATTTCTTTGCAAAAGCAACAGAAGGAGCACTAGAACCAAGAGCCTAAAAAGCTCTTAGCTCTTTTCTCCAAAAATACTCAGTTCACTTTTTTAAAATTTAAAAAAAAAAAAAAAACAGTAAGAGAAAAGAGAAAAGGATTGTTTGGGAATTCCTTGACGGTCCAGTGCTTAGGACTCCACACTTTCACTGCCAAGGGCCCAGGTTCAATCTTTGGTTGGGGAACTAAGATCCCATAAACTGTAGAGTGCAGCCAAAGAAAGAAAAGAACTGACATCCAAGCAAAAAGACTGAATCACTTACAAGGGAAAGAAAATGAGGTTGTCCTCACACCCTCTGAGAGCAATGCTTTTTGCCAAAATACAATCAAATACCATATTTAAGACACTCAAGAAAAGAAAAGAAAAGGGGTTCATTTGGCTGGGTTTTCTATCCAGCCAAATTGACCTTTAAGTATAAAGGCCACAGGTAAAACTTTTGATAAGATGCAAGAACTCTGGAACATTTTTCCATGATCTTTTCCTAAGGAATCCACTAGAAAATTAGTTTCAGAAAACAAAGAAAAAAATGACTGGAAAGATACCTGCATAAGCACTCGTGGTGGACATTAATACATATTTACCTGTAAAATTAAGACTTAATTATGGTTGTGAGACAGGATAGCATGTAGTGCTTACATTTCTGATAATGTAAATAAAATACAACTATCATAAAGTAGGTAAGAATGGAGGGTGTGGATGAAAAGTAGAATAAGAATCCTGATTGCCTTATAAGTATTTTTTAGGAAATATGACAATACTACTTCAAATACTGGTGTAAAAGGAGGGGGCAGGGAAAATATGTCACTACTTGATTTTAATATTGTTTAGTTATTATGGCACCAAAAGACAATGGGTCACCTTCAAAGAAGAGAGGGTACTTTAGGCGTTATATAAAGGTATGAATATAAAGATGACCATTAGAACAAAACTTAAATCTTCCCAAATACCAAAAGATGTATCAAGAGAGAAAGAACATAAAAAGTCCACATAGTGAAAAATATACGACAAGAATTATGAGAAATAAGAGATATAAGACATGTCATAATAATATGACAGAAATGAGTCAAACATATTGATCACACAACTTTCCTTTTAACTCACCTATTAAAAAGAAAAGATTTGGGGGACTTCCCTGGTGGTCCAGTGGCTAAGACTCTGCATGCCCAATACTGTATGCTGTTTGATCCCGGGTCAGGGAGCTAGATCCCAACTAAGAGTTCACATGCCCCAACTAAAAGATCCCACATGACACAACTAAGGCCTGGCACAGCCAAACAAATAAATGTTTTTTTAAAAAAGGAAAAGATTTTTAGACTGGCCAACAAAGCAAAATGAAGACCTGTGCAATGTACAAGGGACAAACTTTAAAAACAAAGAAATTCAGATAGCATAATAATTTTTAAATGGACAAAGGTATGCCAGGAATATGTAAATACAAGAATCAATAAGAGGAATGACACTAAAAGAGACCAGGAAGAGCATTTTATAATGATAAAGCCTATAATTCACCATGACAATATAAAATTATTAATATACAGCAACCATATTCATAAAGAAGAAGCTATAGTAGTTGCAACAAAAATGTAAAGAAAGGTTGATAAAAGTTAATGAAATTTTTATGAACTGGCCTCAGATGGCATATAGTATCATTTCCACCATACTCCGCTGGCCATGGTAGTTACAAAGCCCACTGCACAGAATTCTTCTGTTGATTTATGTGTAGGTAGAACTCTAGACATAACATGTGAAGATGAGATAACAGGTATAACTGAGACCTCATGACCTGAGCCCTGGGTTCCAGTCCTCACCCTTGTGGATCATTTTGCTTCTGTGGCAGCTCTCTGTTGCTTGATTCCACTTTAAACTTTTCACTCTATTTCCTATGACCAGAAGTTTTGCTGTCGTATGTATTTCCACAGTACAGTGAGATCATTGGCAACTTACTGAATGCTTAACTTAATTAGCGCACTCTGTCTATCAGAAAATTTAAGTTAAATTATCAATAAAATACACAACTGAAAAAGAGAGCAAGCGAGAGGACGGGAGAGGTAAGGTAGGAATTGTGAGACCAGCAGGTGGAGGAGCCATCGGCACATACTCTGAGGCTGCTCCAGGAGCAGGATGAAAAGGAAAACTGAACCAGCCTGTCCAAGCACAATCGACAATGTCTTCCAGGATCAGTCCCCTGCCCAGAGGCAGGCCCCCAGTACCACTGGAACACCAGCATTAGATACTGTCTTGGTCCATTTGGGCCATGACTATAAGCTTATAAGCAACAGAAATGTATTTCTCACAGTTCTGGAGGCTGGATGTCTGAGAGCATGGTTGAGTTCTGCTGAGAGTCCTCGTCTGGCTTGCAGACTGCTGTCTTCTTGTTGCATCTTCACACGGAGGAAGGCAGAGACAGGAAGCAATCTCTTTCATGACTCTTAAAGGGCACTAATCCCATTCATGAGGCTCCATCCTCACGAGTGCGTCTAATTCTAACCACTTCCTAATACCATCACTTTTGGGGGTAGGGTTTCAACACACGAATTTGGGAGCAACATGGACATTCAGTCTGAAACAGATACCAAACCCCAAGGCAGGGGCTCAGAGCATGCAGGGTTTCCACACACTCACTAAAGGTCACAAATTTCCTGACACTGTGGGGATCCACTGGGAGCTGACTCTTCATATGTGAGCCAACTTCACCTCGTGCCTCGTTTCTGCTACATGCAACTAACTCAGTCCCACAATCCCAGTTGTGGCTGCATGTGAAGAAAACAAGAGATAAGCAACATAAGATGAAGGTGGAGGCCAGCGGAGTTGGGTTTCTAGTCTTCCCAACAGCTCAATAAAAAACGTTGTCTTACTATCTTCAGCCTAGCACAGGATGTGGCACCTAGATCAGCACACACACCCCAACATTGGCTCAGTGATGGATGGAAAGTAGAATAGAAAACAGACTCACAACGACAGTAAAAACATTGGAAAGGTTTTCCTGTGTTATTTGCATCATTATAAACTTTCTAAAGAATGAGAAATTTAAGAATAAATTTCAGCTTATACAACTAATATGAGACACCATGCAAATATCCCTGAGTCTTGACAATCACAGATGAACAGGCTTCCCAGGCGTTTACCCTCACTCCCAGCCCTCCCACCTCCACCAAGCCCCCAGGGTTTCTTGACCAGCCTGGCAGCACGTAGCTTGGCTCCAGCCGTGCGGAAGCACCAATTATCCTTGGCAGCAAGACCTAGGCTTGTGACTGGCCAAAGGAAGTTTGAGGGCCATTCCAGTGTGAATCTCTTGAACTGTTTATTTTCAAGCAGGCTTAGAATGGGCGTAGAGATGTGTCTAAGACTTGGAGAAACCTTAGACCCACTTCATTTTCCAACACAGCTCATCCTAAAACATGTGTCCTGTCCCAGGCTTTCCATGGAAACCCCCAGGAATTTGAGGCCGTAGTCGTAACAGGAGAGGAAGCAGGTCAGCAGGGCCTCAGCTTTATCTTGGAAGTGGGGAGGGCCATCTGCAAGGAACGAAGATTGAAATCCCAGTGAGGTTCTGTAATGGAAAAAAAAATCCACATCTGTGGGGTTTCCCACAATTTAGGAGACAAGAAGATCCACAGCCTAGCTCTTCACAATACCATCACAACCACCTCCATCAGGTGGCATTGCCACCTAGCCTGATGACTTCCATGGGAGGGTTTCATAGCCCCAGTTCCTGATAATCAATTCAAAAAAACTATATGGTTCTTAGGAAATAACAGCATAATGGGCAAGGGGGTTGATTTCAGGATGATTAAATGTTTTGGAACTAAAGAGAAGCAAGGGTTGCATAGCACTGTAAATGTGCTAAATGTCACTGAATTGTTCACTTTAAAATGGCTAATTTTATGTCATGTAAATTTCACCTCAAATTTAAACATAAGATGGTTTAATACAGTGGTTGAATAGAAAATTAACACCCAAGAATCAGTTACCTTGACATAGAACAGAAATACCCAGTTAGAAAAGGAAACTGGAGGGAAAGTTCATTTTAAAGCAGCAACAGAAACCATGACGTACCTAGTATTAAACTGAACAGGAAAGATGTGAGGTCTATGCATTTTAAATTATCACACTTAATTTAAGGGTAAGGCAGAAATAACTTGAATATATATGGGAAAATCAGCCAAAATACTAGATAGGAATTCTGATTATTATGTATGGTAATTCTGCCCTCAGTATTCTCTAAGTTAAATGCAATCTTAATCAAAATCTCAAATTTCTTTCTGGAAGTTGACAAATTTATTATATAATTCCGTTAAATGTATAGAAAGTAGTATAATCTGCAATTTACCCATAATCCTAAACAGCACAGATTGCTTCTTTTAACAGTCTTACTGGATTGTCTTACATGTATATACATTTTTGGAAAAGATACACAGCACAGTTGCAGATATTTCAGGCTCTTTAGTCAGAGTTGATCCCAGCTCTGCAGCTTAAGATTGTATGGATGAACTTAACCATGTTACCTAAACTTCTAAGGCCTCAACTATCTCTTTTGCAAAATAGATAGGATAGTACAATCCTTGTAGATATGAGGATTATGTGTAATTATCATGTCTGAGTGCTTAGTCTAGTAATTCAGGCATAATGGGTCTCAGCATTCAGTAAATGGTTATTATTACCATTATACCAATACATGATAGCATATATGTGATTTTATTACACACTGTGGCTGGAGTTTTTTAATTTAATAATGCATTATGGACATTTTTGCAAGTCAAGACATGTATTTCTTTATTATTCAGCACTTAACCTGGCACCTACACATACTATATGCCCAGAATATATTTGTTACATGAGTAAATGAAGAAATGAATCTTAGCTGGTCTTTTTAAGTTTGCTGCTGGTTGTAAAGGTTGTGTTGGGTTCCAGCATATGGATGTACTATGAATGAATAAGCAGTCCTCCCCTGACAGACATGTATTATTTATAATGCTCAAAAAACTGAAAACAGCTCATAGATATGGAGAAAAGTCTGGTACTTGCCAGAGTTGAGGAGGTTGGAGGTGGGGAAAATTGGTGGAAGGGGTCAAAGGGTACAAGCTTCTAGTTATAAAATAAATAAGTTGCGGGGATGTAATATACAGCATGGTGACCATAGCAATAACCCTGTATTGCATATTTGAAACTTGTTGAGAAAAGCAATCTTAAAAGCCTTCATCACAAGAAAAAAATTCTGTAACTATGTATGGTGACAGATGTTAGCTAGACTTATTGTGGTGAGCTTTTCACAATATATATAAATATCGTGTTTTATGCCTGAAACTATAATGTATCTCAATTATACCACAATAAAAAATTTAACTGAAAAAAAACATTATAATTATCCATTAACGAGGATTATGGGTAGACTTTTGCTTTGAGTGATTCCAAATGCGTTAAAACAGTCCCACCCCATACTAGCTGTGATCAAGTATACCTAGAGGTCATCTCAATGTGATTTCCTCAAGAAAAAATGGTAAAGATAGTTCCATTTGTGGGGGATGAAGGGAAGTTTGGGGGGCCATCATCTCTCTTCTGCAAAGCTGACTGTACCTCCTGCTAGGAGGCTGCTGTGGGTGAGGACCCCCCAGCTGGTGACAGAGCCTGGCTGAGCCCCACTTTTCAGGGTGTCTTTGGTTCCTTGACTCCTTTCTGCCTTTCCAGGAGAAGGGAAAAAAAAATGCTGTTTCTTGGTGAGAAATGACCACCAAGTGAGAAATACAGTGAAAATTTCTCTAGAGAAAATGTGGATTTCAGGAGAAAGCCTGGAGCCCTAAGAGGCTTTTTCTGTTGGCAAATATGGTGATTCTGAGGTCTTCATGCTGATGGATCAAAAATGTGTGAGCTACAACCACACCTCCCGCCGACTACAGCAGCAGCCAGGGTCTGGAGAGGCCACCCGAATATCTGCAGGCTGAGTCAAGATTCCAGGGAGGCCCCTGCCGATAGTCTACCGTCCTTTTCTTCCCACCTCCACCACCATCCTTCATCGGAGGAGCCCTGTGTGCGTGTTTGCGTCCAAAACGCATAGTTTGCATGTTTAGCATGCCTCCCTCCCCACTCAGCAGACACACTTAGCCACCCCTCGGGAGCAGACGTGCAGGCGCTCCAACAGCCAGGAGAGCTGGCAGTAAGTCCTCACAGGCCCTGGAAAACAGAACGTGGCCCAGAAGGGTGGGGTTGTTCCAGGGGTGCATGTCTCCTCTGCTCCATGGACTCCTTGCCCTGTGGGGAGAGCGTAGCTGGAAGGCGGCTGGAGCAGGACTTTCAAACAGCCAGCGCCTGGCAGAGCTCTGTCTCTCTGATATAAGGCAGCACCCAGAAGCCCAGGCAAAGCTTCCAATACATCAGTGGTTCTCAATTGGTCATGGTTTTGCCTCTCAGAGGTCATGTGGCAATGTCAGCAGAGATTTTTGGTTGGCAAAAGTCAGGAGATACTGCTGGCATCTCGTGGGGAGAGGCCAGCGATGCTGTTACACATCCTGCCATAACCAGGATAACACCTGCACTGCCCCCCACCCCACTGCCCACCCCGCCAACGAAGAATTATCCAGCCCAAAGTGTTAACAGTGATGATGCTGAAAAACCTTGTAAGACATGCCTGAGTGTGAAGGGGGTTCAGACCTGACTCTGCCACTGACTTGTTATGGGACCAGTTTTTAAGTCTCCCTGAGCCTCAGTTTTCTCGTTTGTATCATGGGGTTAACGGTAAATATTCCACAGCACTATTGTGAGAAATGAAAGGGATTTGATACATAAAATGCCTCACACAACATAGGTCTTCAATGAAGGTCATAAGGTGCTCCTTAAATGGGAAGGGAAGCCAGTTTTTAATTTTTAAAGGTCTTTTTACAAATCAATTAGAAGAGTTGGATTTTGGAAGAGAACATTTGAACCATGAAAGCAAGAGAAGCTTATATATCACAACTACTGTATCAAAGATGAAGAGGAAATATGGATATATAGAAAAATAATCTTAAATTAGGCTAATCAACAAAAAAAGTTGTTTATACACAGTACTGTAAGACACAGTGAATTGTGTAAAGCTGAGTTATACTCCTAACAGGTTTTTCCCTTTTCCACCAAGAATTTTCTAAATCAAAACGCCATCCCAGGAATTCGCTGGATGTCCAGTGGTTAGGACTCAGCACTCTTATTGCTGAGGGCCAGGATTTGATCCCTGATCCGGAAACTAAGATCCCACAAGCATCACCTGTTTGCGTCAAAGATCCCCAAGATGACATAAGCCCAGAAGCATAAAGTAGGGATAACCTCCTACAAGCAGAAATTTTCTTGATATAAAGGAAATCAAGGCTCTTCCTCAAATGGAGATTTCCCTGGGCAGAAATTAGGGGCCACATGGAGACGTGGCTCAGAACCAGTGACACCTGGGTGGATGAGCTTCATGAGGG